GTCCTGTTCCATTCTGATAGAGCCAAGGATTTAAAAACAAGCGCTGGGGAATGGGCAGGTATAATCATTCAGAGAAGCTAGTAAGCCAAGACTGTGCCAGGCCAAGCTTGGCAGTTGTGCTGCATACCTGAGGGGCGTGACAGGGCACAGATACCATCTTCCCAGAGGCATGTGGCATGAGGGTAGTTACATGTCTGTCTGGCTGCTCTGTCTGCTATTGTTTCATGACATTTTCTATGAAACCCAGTTGGTAGGGTGAATGGAAGATAGCTCTTGCTAATCACTTTCTAATCTAAACTAGATCAAGTAGGATAAAAGTCTAGAAGATGAGCATAAGCTCTGGTGTCTGCTTCTACCTGCTCCTCTTTCTTTCTTTTTTCCTCTGTCACAAACCTTCTCCTTCCTTCCTACCCGCCATCAGAAAGTTGTCATAAGTAGGAGTCCCAGAAGCAAATCATGTAAAAAAGGAAGAGCAATGTAGCGAAAACTGAAAACAAACCAAAACACACATAGACTTTGGAATCAGAGAGACCTGTGTTCAAATCCTGACTTTGCTACCCCTAACTGGAGCGAGCCTCTATTTCCCTAACAGAAATTAGAATACGACTAGATGAGGCTCTGTGTGTGTGTGTGTGTGTGTGTGTGTGTGTGTGAGAGAGAGAGAGAGAGAGAGAGAGAGAGAATGGAAAGAGAGAAAAGAAGAGTGCCTAGCTTATCACAGACACACAGTAAGCATTATTATCCTGGTTTTCATTGATAAGACTGATAAGACAGCCTAGGAGATTGAAAAGTTCCTGATGTACCTTGCTGTAGAGGGGAAAAAATGAACTGCACAATGAGAAGAAAGAAATAAAAGGATTTGGACTATGAATAAATAAAGGGTGACAACAGTGAGGCAGTGCTGTGGTTCTGAGGAGGGAAATGAGAGAGACGAGTAAAAGAGGGCAAAGACTCCCCCAATACAAATCTCAAATTGCAGCTGAGAACTGGAACATCAGAGACAGGAACTAAAGATGTTTAGTAAAGCAGAGTAAAGGAAAATGAGGGCTATCAAACCGGTGTTATTTCCAGTCACTCTCAAAATGAACTGTGACAGCTTTCCATGTGGATTTGCCAATCCAAGGCTATGCACAGTTCGTCAAACCCTATTTTCATCTTTCCCTGCTACTTCTTTTACGTGACATTTATACGAATTGGCTTCAGAATTCAAATCAAATGGCACCCTCCCAGATTTTTTTCCCCACAGAACCCATAGAAGAAATGCATATGAGAATATATTTTTATGTAGTCTGCTCCTTCAGCTTGTAAGGAATTGACATTTGCCTGTACGTGTCTATATTTTCTCATTTCTCTATGTCCATCTTTGGGTTTGATTCCATCAGGGAAGTCTGGGAAAGTGTCTACGTTTTTTTCAACAATTAAATTAATTGTAGTTAAATTGTGAAAAACTGATTTTCCAAATGCTTATTGAATGTTGATGACAAAATTAAATCCTTTATTTATAAGCAACTTAAGATTGATCTGGGGATTGATTGATTGGGGGAGTGGCAGTGAAACATATACAGACATACAGAGAATAGAGAGAGGTATACATGGAATATGTATTTATGTATTCCCCGTAAAGTTTGCGGATGAGAGAGTTACAGAGAATATTGATAAAAGAACTAGAAATTGCAAAAGAAACCTGTATGTGCAGATCTATGGCCAATAAGTGGAAACTGACTCCCATACAGATAAGCTTTGGTTAATAATTTTCCACATTTTGCCAAGACCAGTGGGCGCATTCTCAGATAAGAAGCTAGATAAGAGGGTAGGTGAAAAGGACAGTTTTCACACTGGAAGTATAGTAGCCATCCTTTTGTAGCGTGGCTGACAAATGCTGGGAAACTAGAATCTGTTGTTGCCGAAAGGTACAGTGACCACGTGGAACAACATGGCGGCACTTACCTGGGGATGCCTACATCTGTTAGACTTCCTGGCTGGGGTCAGGGGTCTTTTGGAAGACGTTCATTATGTCAGCTGACACTGATCACAAAGATTGCTCTCCCATCTTGAATACTAGGGGCCAGGTCCTGTTTGGAGACCCCCAGGCACTCCTTCCTTTTCCTGCAGAGTAAATGACTCCTTTGCCTCACTGTGGCTTCACGGACTCTTGCCTTTTCCAAAGTGCCTCTTTTATTCACCAGAAAGCCTAGTGCCCTGGCAGAGCCTAGCTCCCCCAGTCTGTGTGCTGTTTGGCACAGGTCGTGTTCCTCCTTGCGTGGCTTGCATGGTACGTGCACATCACGCTCACTCCAAACTTGCCTGGCCTCTAGGCCTCTATCTTCTCCCGATCCCTTCTCTCCCTCCCCAGTACTTTAATTTAAGCCGTCACCGCCTCTCACCTGGACTAATGCATTGTCTTCTAGCCAATCTCTTTGCTTCTACCTTTAACCCTCCCACACACACACCCCCCACCTCACCAGTCTTCCCCCTGCATCTGGAGTCATAGTTTTTAAGTGCAAATTTGATGGTATCGCTCCCAGATTTCTTTCACACATCAAACCCAGACTTCACAAAAGGCCCCCGGGGTCTGGTGTTTATCCTCAACTCCAGTCTCATCTCTCAGAATTCACTGCTGGCATCCTCTCCTTGAGCCATTTGGAGCTGTTTGCACTTCTGTAAACATACTGTATTCTTTCACACCGCCATGTCTTTGCCCCTACTGGTGTAATTCTGAAGTCTGGAATACCCTTTCTACCCTCTGTGCCCAACCAGCTCCAATTCACTGTCTCAATGGCTTTATTGAGCTATAACTGACATAACAGACAGCTCACTCATTTAAAATGTACAATTCACTGGATTTTAGTTTAGCCATAGAGTGTTGTGCAACAATCACCACTATTTAATGCCAGAACACTTTCATCCCCTCAAAGAAACTCTGTACCTATTAGCAGACCTCTCCATCCTGCCCTGCCTAATTCCTCCTTGCCCCCTGCTGGCCAGCCCCTGGCAACCGTTGATCTACTTTCTGTCTCTGTGGATTTGTCTATTCCAGAGGCACCTCTCAAGACTTTTTTCAGGTGTTGCCTCCTAGTCCCCTGATTTCAAAGCCTCTCCACTGGGCTCCAGTAATACCCCTTGTAGGGCTCTGTCATAGCACTTATTCCCACTGTATTCTTACCTGCCACCTCACTGGAAGTGACTTACTCATCTCTGAAACCTCAACGTCTAATACTTGGCTTCGCTTAGAGAAAGTACTCTGTAGCTACTGGCCAACTGAATGAATGACTTCCAGGAAGCCCTGACAGGGAGAAAGGCCTCTCAGTGAGTGGGTTAGAGATGAGCGAATACACAGGCAGGGCCAGATGGTGGATTCCTAGTGCCCATATTTCAGCTCACTTGCACTTGGGTAAACTCATCAACCACCACACTGATGTCTCTTTCATCTCTACAGTTGATACGCAGGTTCCAGAACCTAGGGAAACATTACCATACGTGGTGCAGAGAAAGTATATCCTCAGGAAATACTCATGATACACCAGTTTAAGCTTTACCTGTGGGACTAACAGCAACACCCTCAGGCCATCTTCCTGCTTAACTTTTTCAATGTCCTTCCACGCCCCTCCTGTCTTCCCTTCCTTCTTTCTCTTCTCCTCCCCCCACCCCACCAACACCCTTGGGATATTTGCCCTTATTTTTTTTGCGGTACGCGGGCCTCTCACTGTTGTGGCCTCTCCCGTCGTGGAGCACAGGCTCCGGATGCGCAGGCTCAGCGGCCACGGCTCACTGGCCCAGCCGCTCCGCGGCATGTGGGATCTTCCTGGACCGGGGCACGAACCCGTGTCCCCTGCATCGGCAGGCGGACTCTCAACCACTGCGCCACCAGGGAAGCCCTGCCCTTATTTTTAAAGCATATTTCAGAATATCTGATGAACAATGTAGGTCCTTAGATTTTGGAAGAGATTAACTTTAGACGAGATGTCTGAACATGAATCCCCTTTGAAAGCTGCTAATTGTTCTATTTCAGTGCACCACATTTCTTTACACGATTGGATCTTTAAAAAAATCTAGTCAGCAAGGGAATATAAGACAGTTTTGCAAACACAGTGGAATATGGAGATGTTAAATACTAAACCATCTCATTTTCAGCATTTTACTGACTAGAGACAAATGCGGGTGCACCCTGACTCTGGCTATCGTCATCCCTTTTCTGTCTCTAAGCCTTTCTCCCGATTTCAAACTTCCTCCTTCTTCTCGTCCCCAAGAATCTTTGTCTCCTGTCTCATTTCCTCCATTCCTGATCTTCTCTCCCTCTTTCTCGATTCTCTCCTCTGCCCATTTTGCTGTAGGCACCTCCCTTTATGTTTCGCACTCTGTTTCTCCTCCACTTTCTTTTTCATTCTTCTTCCTAATTAGCTCCCTCTCTCTTTTTTTTCCCTTCTGTTCTTTGCACTCGGAATGAGGTAGGGGAGAGAGAGTGGGAGGAAAGATGAGCAGGAAAAGAGAGAGGGGAGAGAGATAGACAACGGGGCTGTCCTGCAGCTGCCATATCATCTGTCACCAAAGGGGATGTGCGCCCTGGTCCAAATCACCCATATTTCTTCCCCTTTAAGGTAAGGCAACATAATCTCTTTGTGCCTCAATTTTGTCTAACATATAAAATTGAAACAAAGTAATATGTTCCCAGACTACCTCCCAGAGATGTTGCTAGGGTCAAACTTGGGAATGAATATGAAAAAGATTTGAAAAGAACCAGACCCCTGTAATTGGAAGCACACGGGGGAATGGGTGGGTGGATTACCGCCTTGCCCTGTATGGGGATCTAATTAACTGAGCATTGCATTTCTTGCCTTTCTGAGGAATGTGTTTCTTTTCACCTTTGTTCTACTCAGTCACATCACTTGGTTGTCTGTATAAGCTCGTTTGAATGTTCTTAGTGTCTTCGGAGGGGAAGGATAACGTGTTCCTTTGTATGCTGTTGATTTTTATCCCCTTCCTTTTCTCTTGCCTTGGGCTAGCAAACGGAACCTCCAGCAGCCAGCTCTCTACCCCCAAGTCTAAGCAGTCTCCCATCTCTACGCCCACCAGTCCTGGCAGCCTCCGGAAGCACAAGGTATTATGTCTCTTATACCTTACTAAACCCCTTTGCACTTGGACTTTTTGGAATGGCTGGTGAGGGTTTTCTCTTCCGTCTACCTCAGCAGCACATCCAGGCCAGAATTTCCCTTTGTCTGGTCCATTAGCTTGAAGTGCTGGGAATCCCTGCAGGGGCTAAGCTTCCAGTCACTTTTATTTATTCTTCTGACCCCCAGTTTATTTAATTCTGGTTATATTTAACCAAAAGGAAGAGGTATGAAGGGCCCAAATAACCATTCTGAGCTAATAGTGTCACCAAATGATGGCTCAGGGGCTGAGTTGAGCACTTGTCCCTGCAGTTCAGGGGCACAGCAAAGAGGGCATTGAGGGCAACTTATGGCCCCAGGCTCCAATAAATACATAAAGAAAGTTAGCCCTAAGCTACTCCCTTTAGATTCACAGGACATCAAAGTATGAACAGGCCCTAGTTTCATTGTATATTCTTCATTACCAGGCAGATTCTGGTACAGTGTAGGAAGAGAGGGCATATATACATTGCATTGGCCCTGGGCACCCTTTACACCTCTAAGTCATCCCCAATAAATATACCATTAAAATAATAGAGGTGTAGAAATTCTCTACCCCCGCTTTCCAAATTGATTCCCACCCAGAAATCTCTTCTGTATCAAAAATCTGGAGTGGCCATTGCCTTCAACCTCATCTCTGAGGCCATGTGAATGTGGTTTCTGCTCTGATTACCACACCCTAGAGCAGCTTCCTCTAGGATTCTCTTGTCTTCTCCCAGCCCACAAGACTTGGCGAGAGATGGAGAAAGGCAGAAAGCCACCAATGTGGCCAACTCCATCACAGAACCATAGGGGGTAAGAGCTACAAGAGATCTGAGATGGAGATAAATTCGTTTCATTTGATTCTCTCAATAATCTTGTGAGATTGATGTTTTCCAGACGAGAAAATTGAAACCCAGAATGAAGTTACTTACTGGGGTGACATAGCTAGGTAGCAGCAGACGTAAGACTGGCACCCAGGTTGCTACCAGTGGTTTGCTGGAGCCAGTTCACACTAGCTCCTGAGAGCTGATTGTGTGCATCGCTTCCCAACTCTGTGTTCGGTGACATCGTGTTGGTACCTAGAGCTCAGCCATGATGGGAATATTTATTTACACCATAGAATTCAGCAAATACTACAAATCAAGGTTGTTGTTTTCTCCCACAGGAAGTCGGTTGTTACACATTTAAACGGCACAGCGCTGCCTGACACCTATTTTCATTTCCTTTTCTCTACATCAGGATTTTTAATTTCCTGGTTAACTTGACCATTACCTGCTCCATCATTCCTAATGCCCATTCCATTCCTTTAATGACTTCTTTACCTTCTGGTACTGACCCTGACCAGAACCTTCGAATTGTTCTGTTGAGCTATTTGGTTTCCCCAAAGGAAGATCTGCTGAACTGTCTGTGTAACCAACGGTACCCAGAGATTGTGAGATGGATGAAAATTGCTTTTGCAGTCAGCTTTCAGTGATTCTTCTGAGCAGCAAACCTTGTTAGTGTGGACATTCCAAGACGAGGAGTAGCCTACTTCAGTTGTTCTACTGTCCACACAGAACCTCCTGGGGATGCTCCACTGTTTCTTACTGTGTCTTTGCTCTATGCATTTCTGCCCATACTTTCCTTCTGGGAAGTGTGACCTACCCCAGCACCTTCCACCAGTACCTTCTCCGAAGGGCTGAGGGCAGCCTGGGCATTTATTTGGTCTGCACACTTGAGTCCTTCCGCTTTGTAATTGACATGTTCAGTTCATTTAGGCTGAGGCCCCACCATCCATAAGCCCATTGAGGTGAGTGCATTGTTAAACCGTTTCATCTGGTTGGGTTTGCAGGCTGTGTGTGTGTGTGTGTGTGTGTGTGTGTGTGTGTGCGTGTGTGTGGTTGTTTGTTTTGTTTTGTTCTTGTTTTGGACTCAATTCTAAAAACGAATTTCACCATTGAAGAACCAGAACAAGCTACAGGTGGCAGCCTTGTCAGAGCCTATTTTCTTTGTATCATTGAGTTTTCAGTGTATCATTTTATTTTTCAAATTACCCATTTTTAATGGCAGTTAAGCAAACAAACATTAAATAATAAATTATATAATTTTCTAGAGCAAACTTTAAAAAACATTTGGATTTTGGTATAATTTTCACTAAGTTTTTACTTTTTTTTTTTTTGTTTTTTTTTTTTTTGCGGTACGTGGGCCTCTCACTGCTGTGGCCTCCCCCGCCGCGGAGCACAGGCTCCGGACGCGCAGGCCCAGCGGCCACGGCTCACGGGCCCAGCCGCTCCGCGGCATGCGGGATCCTCCCGGACCAGGGCACGAACCCGCGTCCCCTGCATCGGCAGGCGGACTCCCAACCACTGTGCCACCAGGGAAGTCCCCTACTTTTTACTTCGATATTTCAAATTTACAGTTGTAAGATTGTAAGTACAAAGAACTTCTGTATACTCTTTATAAAGATTCACCAGTTGTTTATTTTTTTCCCTTTTACTTTATTTTTTGTGTTCTCTCTCTCCACCCACACACACACACACACACACACACACACACACACTTTACTAAATTTTTTAACCATTCGAAATTGTTTAAGACATCATGCCCTTTTACCTCTAAATACTTCAGTAGGTATTTCCTAAGAATAAGGACATTTTCTTTCATAACCATAGTACAATTATAAAATCAGGAAGTTTGCACTGATTCAGTACTGTTATATACTCTGCCGTCCATATTCAAATTTTATCAATTGCCCCAAGAGCGTTATTTTTTTCTGGTCCAGGATCCAATCTAGGATCACACATTGCCTTCAGTGGTCATGTCTCTTTAGTCTTCTTTGATCTAGAAAAGTTCTTGAGTCTTTTTAAAAATCTTCAAGACAGTATACTGTAGAAATGAAGAGCACAGGCTAGTTGTTTGGTAAAATGTCCTTCAATTTAGGTTTGTCTGATGTTTCCTTGTGGTTAACAGATTGTGCATTTGGGACAAGAAATGTCATAGAAGTGATGTTGCATCTCACTCAGTGCATCCTATCAGGAGGCAGTAGCCTCATGCTTATACCACCAATGATGGAGGATGAACTGGTTTTTCTGAATAAGCTAAAAAGTGTGTTGTGACCTTGGCTCAGTCCCCCTGGGGCTCAGGCTCAGCTTCTTGCTCCTCCTTTCACAAAGTTACTTGAGCCTTAGCACCATCGAGGTCCTTGGGCAGTGGGCCTAAGCAGATATCACCTGAACTTCCATCCAAGTGGACCTGAAAGGTGTGAGTCATGGTGGAGACAGGAAGCAGGTGGCTGAGGCCATGACTTTCCTCCTGCACAATTGGAAACAAACGTGAAGTCCCAGCATCCCTTTGGTAAATTTTGACGGTTGTGACAGGGCCCCAAGCTGTAATCAACCTCTTGGCTTCTCCTCTTAAGCAACTCATGGAGAATCCTTTTTAATGCAGCTGCGATGAGGTTAGCCAAAGTCCGCATACTCAAGTGCTGCAATATGGACACGAAGTAAATCCTTGTATAGTTAATGAGAACAACATATTGCATTTTCATACTGCTTTATCTTTCTGCATAGCCATTTTCTCATTTACCCTAGCGATAACCCTGTGAAAGAGATAGGGCAGGCTAGCATTTCCATTTTACAGATGAGAAAAAGGAGGTGATGAGGTTAAAGACAACCCCAGTATGATTCAACAATTCAGAGAAGGTACCATATTAAAGATGTTCAAAATGCCTAGAAACACAGGGCCGCTTTTTCATTTATTAAAAAATTTTTTTTTCCAGATTAGTGATTGCCCTCATGGCTTTAAATTTGGAGGCATTTCGCTTGCCAAGCTGCCTGGAGATTGAAGGAAAATATATTTGACATATTATTTGAAAGCATAACTAACATTATTTAAATATACATTTCCCTCTGTGTTTCCAGACTTTTTTTTTTCTGTCATCCTGTAACTGCTTAGAGAGATCGTTTGATGAATAAAGCAGGGCCCTGAAACTTACATCACAGACACCACTCTAAGTGGATTTTGGTAGTGTAATCAAGAGCGAAAAAAGAACTGCAGGAGCACACAAGGGAGGGTAGGAAAGACGTCGGACTGTGGGAGGGTGGGAGACACGAAAGCTTTGTAGACTAGGTGACATTTAAGTGGGACCTTGAAGCCTGGGTAGGCTTTTGATGGCTGGTGAAGAGAGCGGGCATTCCAGCTTTTAAAAAAATCAGCAAGAACAAAGCCACACCATCAGAAAAGCACAGGGCACATTTGGGAAAAAGTAAACCCAAACTAGAAGCCAGGTTTCTCAAAACTTCTCTCTGACTTCCTTTGGACTATAAGCTTCTTGGACCAGAGACCAAGTTTTTGTTTTCTCTAATGCAATAGTATCGCCAGCACAGCTGTATTTGTTACAAACATTTTGTTCTGTAGGGCTCCAGGGGACCAAGCAAATGAATTTCAGGTGCAAATTATTTGTATTGTTAAGCAATATGTGTGTTTCTGTATTTATACATATCAATCAACAAAAACAGAATGTTGAGATAATTCCTTTTCCTGAACATTGTTCTACCCATACAAGAAGATATATTTTGAATACTAAATAAATTGATGGAGGACAGAAGTACGGAAGTTCATACCTAGGCCTAGTCCTCTGGATTTTCTCCATAGCCTGTGCCTCACCCCACCCATTCCAAGTCACAGCAGCTGCAAGTGGAGTCGCCTCCCAATTCTACTCCCAGGCCTGTCCCCTCTTCCTCTGAGATAACAGTCTGGAACAGTCTTTCTCGGATAATTATTTCCACTAACCAACCAGCTACACTGAAGGATCTGTTACATGAATGACTCAGAACAGGGGTGAATGCTGAAGCCCAGTGGTTCAGTGCGGTGGGACCCAAAGTGGCTTCCATAATGAAAAGGCCCTTGTGTGCTGGCTGAAAAATGCCCAGGGAGTTCACTAACTTGGTAGTGCCTGCCTCCTTTCCCTTGCTTTGGTATAACTAGAGAAAAA